TATCCTTCCATGTAGCCATACCTTGTCGCCTACACGAAACTCCGAGGGGGCTCCGCGATGCCTGTCGTAGTGCCGGGCCATATCCTCCGCGGCTTGCCGCAGGGCAGCACCCGCTTCCTCCTCGGCGCGCTTCATACGTTCTGCGAACTCGGAAGCTCCCTCCGCGTGCGGGACCCTCCGAGGTTCCACGCCCATCCGTGGGTGACACCCATAGTCCATGAAGAAGGGGGTCTGGCGGGTCGAGGAGTGAACGCGGTTGTTGTAGGCGAACTCGGCGATGGGAAGCCATTCCTCCCAGTCGTCCTGGAGGTGATTGACGTACAGGCGGAGGAACTGCTCGATCTCCTGGTTGACGCGTTCAGTCTGGCCGTCCGATTGGGGGTGGTAAGCCGTGGAGGCCGCTATGGAGATCCCGAGCATTCCGCTCAACTCGCGCATGAGGTGCGACACGAATTGCGGCCCTCGGTCGCTGATCGTAACCTCAGGAAGTCCATGGTGCTTCCAGACCTGGTCGCGGAAGAGCCGAGCGATCCCGAGCGAGGTGACTTCTGACGTGGTGGAAGCGAAATGGGCGCGTTTCCCCTTGCGGTCTACAGCAACGAAGATCGCGTCCTTCCCATTCGAGGCCAGAAGCTCCGTGATCAGGTCTACAGTCACCACCTGCCAGCGCCGTTCGGGTACTGCGTTGGGGAGAAGTCGGCCCGAGGGAGCTCCGGGGAACGTCTTGGTGCGGTTGCACGCGTCGCAGCCCTTGACGTACCGGTCGACGTACCGGCTGATCCCTGGCCACCAGTAGTTCCTGGAGACGAGTTCGAGCGTTTTCCAACGTCCCGGGTGCCCCGCCACGGGAACGTTGTGATGCAGCTCTACCACCCTCCTTCGAAGTTCCTCGTCTCGAGGAACGTAGACGCGACCGCGGTAGAGTACCAGGTCCTCTTCGAACTGCCAGTCAGGCGCATGGTCGATGCTCCGGGAGACTCCGTGAGGCTTCGCCATGGCAGCCTCGACCTCCTTGTCCAGCTCCTTGGCGTTACGAATCCGCCGCAAGATGTCGGCGTCATCCGTGTCGATCGGGACCGCCACGGGACGAAGCGCTCTGATGAACATCTCAGGGCGCAAGACAACTACGTCCCGGTTATCGTCGGCGCCCTTGGAGTGATCCGCCCGTCGTGATAGCGAGTCTGGACGGCCGGAGAGACGTCCCGGACGATGGTGGAGCGTGAAGTCGAATCGGGAGAGGACGAGGGACCAGCGCGCTTGCCGACGGTTCAGAGACTTCGCCGTTTGGAAGTATTCGAGATTCTTGTGGTCTGTCAGGATCTCGAACGGCTCCCGGGAGCCCTCAAGGAAGTGCCGCCATTCCTCGAGAGCCCGAATGATGGCAAGGAGCTCCTTGTCGTGGACGTCGTAGTTGCGCTCGGGAGGGGAGAGACCCTTGGACATATAGGTGATGGGGTGGAGGATCCCGTCGTCTCCCATCTGCGAGAGGATGGCCCCGGTGGCAAAGTTGGATGCATCCGTCTCGAGATGAAACTTGCGGTCGTCCCTCGGAGCTACCGAGGACCGGTGCGGAGGTGAGCGCCTTCTCAGGTCTAAAAGGCGTT